CCCCCCCCCTTCCCCTCCTTGGCAGAAACAATGAACATTAAGATCATGTCAGCTACATCATTTCAAATCCACGCCAGCCACGTCATACGACATCGACCCAACCCTGGATGTCCCGCTGGCATGAGGTGCCTCTAGACCCTAAACCCTAAACCTTAAAACCCCTAAGCCCTAAGCCCCACCAAGGTGCTCCTCGCTCGTAAACTGCGCCAGCCGCGCCACCGCCTGCGCCAGCGTCCGGGGGTCGACGTCGTCCCCATCATCCTCCTCGTCCCCCCCCTCGCCCTCCCCGACAGCATCAACGCCCTCGCCACGTCCCCCGGCGCCGGCGCCCCCTGTTCCCGGTTCCCCTGCGCTGGGCGATTGCTTCGCAGGCGCTGCGGCCCCGTCGGCGCCGCTCCCGCCGCTCGCCGCGCCCAGGCCCGCGTGCGTGTGGGCGCCCGCGTCTTCCTCGCCGTCCGGCGGCGGCGCGGCCGCGAGCAGCAGCGCGCCGGCCCGCGGCGCCGCGGCGCACGCGTGCGGCACGTCCGCGGTCGCCTGCAGGCGCTGCGCCGACTCGAGCGACAGCGACAGCGGCGGCGGCGCGGCGCCGCCTTCGCAAGCGTCGCCCGCGTGCGACTCGACCCGCAGCAGCAGCGCCCAGACCTCGCAGTGGCGGCGGGCGCCGCTGCTGAGGCCGCCGGGCGGCGCCTCCTTGACCGCCCACACAATGCAGTGGACCAAGCCCCCTGCGAGTCACGCGCGCCGGTGGTTGGATGAAAACATCCAACATGATGCATACTGAGCTGTTCGGCCAGCCGACGCCTGATGACACCTGGGGTTTCCGCCGCCCCTTCTGGGCGCCGCGCCAACGCGCGGCTGACCATGCCCATGCAAGTCTATATGGATGTTCTTTCTGATGTTCAATACAAGGCGCCTCCCATCCAGGGGCCCAAAGCCCGGGCGGCGGCGGCCCGCCAAACGGCAGAGCTGCAGGCCATCGCCGCCCCATCCACGGCCTGCCGACCCAGCTCAACCCCCCGTGCCAGCGCCGCGGCTCGCCTGCGCCTGCAGCAGGGAACGCCTCGAGTAGGACGAACGGCCGCACGCCCGCCAGCGGCGCCCGCGGCCGCAGTGGGAATAGCGGCGCGGACCGCAGCACTGCGGTTGGGGCAAGGGAGGAGCAGGGGGCGGGGCTTGGTTGTCGCGATCAGTGCGCTTCCTCCCCCAAAAATCACACCCCGCGGCTGCGACCTGACAGCCGCCCCGGGGATTGCACGAAGACGGAGCGAGCGCGCGCAATTCAACACATGCATAGAACGCCGCAACGGCGGCAGCGGCATAGGCAGCGGCAGCGGCAGCGGCAGCGGCAGCGGCAGCGGCAGCGGCTCACCCGCGCCGCCCTCTCGCAACTCGACAGCTCTCAGGTCCCCGCGTCCCTCCGACACCAGCAGCAGGCGCCCCGCGCCGCCCTCCGCGCCGGCCAGCGGCGCCAAGGGCGCGGCGGCCAGCGATGCGTCCAGCGGCGGCTCGGCCGGCTGGGTGGTGGGGTCGGCCGCTTCCAGGGCTGGGAGCTCTGGTGAGGGTGGGGTCGGGTTGGTGGGCAGGGGGTGGCGGTGCGGCTGGGAGTCAGGCGCTGGGAGAGCATGGTCAGGTGGTTCTGAGACCAGGGGACGCAGGAGTGATGAGGTGATAAGAGGTCAGGGGATCAGGGGGGGTTACAGAGCCGGGGGAAGGGGCAGGGGCGCGAGCAGGGGCCATCCGCGGATCGCGCCGGCAGCTGCGGGGTCCCCCCCCCTAGAATGCGGCTGCCGGGGCTTGTGGCTGGCTTGCATGCCTTTAAACGTCCAATCACATGGACATGCAACACATAAAGGCGTCTGCTGATGTCAAGCCGACCCTGTTGCAGCGCCGCGCTGGCTAGCCAAGGTGCCCCCCCCCCCATGCCCCACCTGCCAAGGGTACCACCGCAAGCGGCACGCCCCCTCCTTCGCCCGGCGCGACCTCAAACACCTCCAGCGCGCCGCCCGCCGCGCCCGTCAGAACATAGAAACGGCCGGCGCTCTGCACCAGGTGGTTGCGCAGCGCTGCAGCGCGGGTGTGCAAGTAGTCGACCGCGTCGCTCGCCGCCAACCGGACAGGCGCCGGCAGCGGCGCGGCCGCGCGCAAGGGGCCTGGATCGTGACCGAGTCGCCAGCTATCAAAAACCCTATTGCGAAGCTTTCCATCGATAGAGAGCGACATGACGCTGATCGCAGATCGCAACTAGCGCGTCTGAATGCAACCGTAACCGCAAAGCTTTCTCAAAATTACAGTGCTTCACTGCCACATTGATAGTGGCGTCGTAGCCGATCTGAACTGATTGGAATCAGCGGGGCGTGACCCAGTGACGAAAGCATGCTCAGCACGAGCAGCGACAGCAGCAGCATAACCAGAGGGGGCCCATCAGGCCCCGAGACAGCCATAGCAGTATAGCGTGTGAGTCATTGTAAAGCGCTACTATGCACTCTCAAGTAAGGCCAGCTTCAAGTGTATGTGGCCATGCTGAGCTGCAACAATGTCCTGCCAAGGCATGGGGGTGCCGGAGAGCACCACCAAGTGGTCCTGGTTTGGCAATTGACCGCCATGCTGATGGACCCCCCTGGTGGTTGGTGTTACTGCATGGGCATCCACATGTGATGGGCATCACACATGTTTGGGGGCATCACACATATTCAGACAGATGGGTTTTATACAAGGACTCCAACTCTTGAAAATGCACGACGCGATGGCGACGGGCAGCTGTATGGGCCGGCCGACGCGCCAGAGGGCAGGAAGGATGCCGCAGAAGGGCTGCTGCCTAAAGGACAGCTCACATATGTTTTGAGCGTTGGCATTGCCACATGATGCCAGCAGAGGTGAAAGTGGGGGGGGGGGCGATGGTTGGGTGGCAGATGGTTTTATGTCTTTGAAGCTTTTCACAGCCCAAGAAAAGCTTGTTATGCGGGGCCCATTGAGGTGTGGGATTTAGTACAGGCAGCACAACATGCAACGCTCTGCAAAAGACTGTACAGTCATGTGGGTTGAGACGGCCAAGCACAATCGCGCAGCCACGCGGGCAGCCGCACGAGCGTCAAGCAAGTGCACTTGCACGTCATGGCTGTGCTTGGCGCCTAACATGCGCCGGTGCGGTTGGCAGCTGTGGCCACCAACAAGTGCGACTTGGCAGCACTTGCACGCGGATGCTAGAGGAAAGGAGTTTGATTTGTTGTGGTGTCAAGTGAGTTGGTACTTGGTGAAAGAATGCACTGGCCCGACCGGCCGGGCGGAAGACAATGTATATCAGCTTTGGGCATTGGTGCGCGCTGGGCCGCGCGTCATGTGCGGGATTGTTCAGCGTAAGATCACAGCTGACGCGGCCCTGCTACACAATTTGATGCAGTTGGCTGGGGCAAAGCGGGCTGCAGCACGCATGCCAAGAGGAAGGCATGTCGGCTGCGGCGTTAGGCACAAGGCGAGGCTGGGCGGTTGAGGCCGGGACATGGGGCTGGGCTGTCAGGGGTCCTGGCTTTGGGTCTTCACAAGAAGCCATGGTGCGGTGCACTTGCAGGTGCGCAGTGAGCGGGCCACGACACCCAGGCAACTGAGTGTAGGCATGTCTTCGTCCGCCGCCACGCCTTGAGCTGCATGGGAGACAGATGCCCTGTATGCGGGGGTGGGAGAGGGATGGAGGGGTTGGTGGCTCGAAGGTGGCTGCATTCTCAGGGAGAAGCAGAGGGCGTGCGCACACTCCAGGACTACCCCTCGACACGCTCAAACAAACGGCGGCATCCAGCATCACGCCAACATGCATCACTCAAACACAGTACTGTCTGCTCAGTGTATGTTAACATAGGTTGCGTTCATCGAGGGGTTGACCCACTCAAACAAGAGGTGTCAGAAGGTATGGTGTATCTTCACTGCAGACGCTGTTCAACAACATGGCATGGGGGCCTGGCAAGCATCAGGCAGCATGCAAGAACCCTCACCGAATCAGTGACAGCGGCATGGCACAGCCGTGGCAGCTGGCTGGGGCCGGCATGCGACCGCCGATCTTTGAATTGCCAGCGGCGGATTTGTGTTGCCATGCCGGCGGAGGTGCACTTTGAGACCAGTGGTGGGCTTGGAGTCAGATCAAAGCCGCCGCGGCGGCTGCTGTTGCCACTACTTTGCAGGGTGCCGCGGCTGGTGCTGGAACTGAAACCGAGCAACGTCCGGGAATCCAGATCAAATCCTGCGCCAGCCTCGCATAATGACGGCCATTTCAGGTGTGCTCAGCGAGATCATGTGCCTGTGTAATCTTGAGGGTGCAGCCTCATGGAGGTGAGTGCACGCAGAAAACATGCGAATTTGCTCGACAAGTGTCCAATTCTAAAGCGTTGCTGGACAATCCAGGGTAACCTGTGGTCGCTCAGCTGCCGGTTCATCAAGGCTGAAGCAGCTGGACTGCATGGCCGAAAGCGACATCGGGTATCGTATGAGTGCAAGTAATCCTACTGCAAAGTCTCTGACCTTGTGTGCCTAGGAGGGATCATGCAATCAAATCCCGATGGTGCGGCCACTGCCGGAGTGCCCTGCAACCAAATCCCAAGCAACCACCTCATAAAAGTGAGGAGCGCCGAGGCGCCATCAGCACGCGACCAGCGCCCCAATTCTTCCATATGGCAGCTGCGAGATGAGTCTTCTTCAGGAACTAAGCCTTGCATCCCTGCCGGCCCCATTCAGGACACTGCGGGTCAGCTGCTGTGCCATGTGCTAGTTCAGTTGCACCCCTGCCGTCCGGGGTGCTCCTCTCGGCTGCCAGCCTGGAAAACAAGATCACACTGGCCTGCGGATTCCGAAGACTCTGGAAAGCCGCACTGCGCGCAAGGGCGTCACGCGGGCCAACGGCAAAAAGGCGACGCTGGGGCGGCGCACCCCAGGTCGACGGTCAGCGGGCTTGTCCCAAGGCGCGGTGGCAGGGCAGGCCTCGCAGCAGGGTCCGTCACAATAAGTGGCTGGGCTAGGGCAACGAGACCACCTCATGGAGTTAAGAAGAGCATCAAGAGGGCTGTGCAGGCACCACAGGGCTGCGGTACAGTATCCTTGCACAAACACATGCAACCCTTCCAAGCCATGCGGCACGCAGCTCGAAATCAAGGAACTTCTTTTCTGATTCGTATTGGCTGGGTGTTGCGCGCCGGGTGATGCATTTCGGGTGACGCACCCCACATGCTTGCTGTCAGATAGACGAGGCGGCTGCCAGGTGGCCAGTTTAGGCGATGCTGCTAATGGTGCCGGCGGCGTCACTACTGATGGTGTTTCTGGCTTCGACGAAAGCGGCAGGCGGCGTTTGAGGCACGGTTGCGGTGAGGCTGGGGGGCGGGGGCTGGCCGGGAAGTGCAACGAGCACCAGCTACTCATGTGTTAGCTTGGTCTGCCGAGGACCACCCCGCATGAGGCCGGCGGCCAAGGATGGTGCCGGCAGTGGTGACAGTGGTGATGGAAGAACAAGGGCAGAGGGTGAGGCGGGGGACGGGGGGGTCGGGGCGGCGCAGTTGCGACGACACTTGCCTGCAGAGGGATGAGGGAGCCGGCGGTTGACCGCTGACTTGGCAGTGCCCTCGACAAACGCTTATCGGCACCCCGGTCTTCATCAAAGCGGGTGGAATAAACGTGCATAGGCTCAGAGCGTGTGTGCGATGTGCAACGCCAGGGGTTTCCTTTACATGCGGCGCGGTGTCAGCGTGGTCGTGGCTGCCACATCATACGGCTGCCATGGAATCCGGGCGGCCCTCACAGACGGCCTTTGTTGGGCGCCCCATTCACTCGTTTCAATCCACTACGAATGCCCGTCATCAACTCGAATGAGCCATTTCCGCCCAAACGCGCCACAATGAGGACCCAGCCCTTGCATCGGCCCCCGCGCCTGGGGAGGGGATGCGTCCCTTCACCGGCACGGCGTCTTGCTTGCAGCCGTATGGTTCGTATCAATGTCATAGCGTCGCCCTCACAGCCCGCGCGGCAGCAGCTGCAAGAGGAAGGCGGGGAAGAGGTTCCCGCCTCCGTTGCGGCACCCTGGCAGCTCAGGCTGCCCTGGGGCAATCCAGTGTCTTCCAGCGAGCAGCACCAGGTCCAAGAGGTGGGCTTACTTCAGATCAGACCGAAGGCGCTGCCCTTGAAAACGCTCTGGCGCGGGCCGCCCGCGCGCCTCCGCATATGTGATTTGCGAGCCTGTTTAAGTAATTTTGATCGCTTCGCGGTCGCTGGCCTTGCGGCTCGGGTGCATGAAGCAATTGCAGTTGCGCGTCAGCGCCGCCACCTGCTGTTGCCGCGGGCAAATGGATGGCTCCAGAACCGCGTACAGGCCGCTGCCGCAGTGGCATCAGGCTTAAGCAACGCAGGACAGCTCAAACCCACGCGGCCACATCCAAAAGCGCAGCCCAAGCAGCGGCCCCGCCGCCGCGGCGCCACAGCTCCCTGAACCACTCTTCCTCGCCACGGTCCGGCGCCCCATCCCGGTCAACCCTCACCCTTCCCGCCCGCGCTCGGGCCCATCCCCCCAACCCCGTCCCCAGGCCCTCGATCGCATGCATGACAGCCCTGCGGGCGCCCCGGTGGACATCACCGCGTTCCTGCGGCCGGTCCAGTCGCATGACCTCAAGCAGCTGCGCATGCTCGCGTCGCTTTGCGGCTTGACATACTACATGGGTACCCAGGTCACACCCCGCTCCCTGCTGCAGCGCCACCGCCTCGACCTTGTCAGCACCAGCCTTGCGTGCGAGCGCATAGCCTACGAGCACCAGGCGGGGGCACGGGAGGTGGTAGAGGAGGGCGACGGCTGCTGCATCAGCGCCGCCGACGCGGCGGCGATCTACGCTGACCGGGACAGCTGCATGGACGCGGCCGCCGCGGACGTCGGCGCGGCCGCGGCCAACATTGTGCCTTTCTCGCGGTCCCTGGTTGGCGCCTCTGTGCAGCAGAACCAGCAGCGACGGCGGCAGGCGGCGGCGGCTGCCGCCGCCGCGGTGACCTCGGGTGGTGCCCCTGTGTTGCTCGCGCCGGCCGCGGCTGCAAGTTCTTCCAGCAGCAGCGATAGCGACGGCGACGATGTTGGCGGCAGCAGCAAGCCCAATGGCAGCGGCGGCTGGAAACCGGCCGACCTCGTAGCCGCGAAGCTGGGCGAGGCCGCGGCCGCCGCATCTGCCGCCGCCCTCGCGCCGCTCGCGCCGCTCGCCTCTGCCGCCTCCGCGGCCTCCGCCGCCGCGCTGGCGCCCCTCGCCTCCGCCGCCGGCAGCCTCTACGCAGGCGGCCTCGGCCTCGTGTCCTCGCGGCTGCTGCCGACCGCGGCGCAGCTGCCGCTGCCGCTGCCGCTGCCGGAGCGCCTCGCGGGCGCGGCCATTGCCGGCATTGCGGGCATGGAGGTCGCGGCCAGCCACCCCAACGGCGGCGAAGTCAAGGCGGCGAGCACCAGCCCGGCCGCATGCCCCAGCGAATGGTTTGTCGCAGATGACCCCCGCGGCCACACGCGGTACTTTGTCATCCAGGGCAGCGACTCCCTGGACCACTGGAAGACCAACCTAATGTTTGAGCCGGTGCCGTTTGAGGGCGAGGAGCTCGGCATCAAGGTGGGAGGGCCCTTAATTTCTCAACACAGCCGCTGTCCCGCGCAGAGCGGCGTGCCTCAGACCAGGCGGTCGCGCAGCTGCGCGCTCAGATGCGTTAGCGCCACCACAGGGTGCCCCTGGCCCCGCCTGATGACCCGACCCATCGGCCATCACCTCGCCCCTGTCGGCGCAGACCTGTGCCGACCTCTGCCCCCCTTGCGCCCCGCGCCCCGCGCCCTGGCCCTGCCACCGCCGCTCCCTACCCCAGGTGCACCGCGGCGCGTACGAGGCGGCCTGCGCGCTGTACGACCGCTTCCTGCCGCTCGTGCAGGAGCAGGTCCACTCTCACGCCCTTGCCAGGGTCGCCTTCACGGTGAGAGGGCAGCGCCCCGCCCTCCTCCCCCTGTCCTTTCAATCACTTGTCATGGGGGCCGCCTCGTCAGCCCTCCCCGTTCGCCCCGGCAAACCCAACACTTTCAACCATTTCCCCCCGCCACGCGTCATTGGGCCGCCTCCACACAGTCGGTTAACCTTACTCTTCCTCAACCCCCTCTCCCCGCCCCCCGCTACCCCAGGGCCACTCCATCGGTGGCTCCATGGCCACCCTCCTGGCCCTCATGTTCCGCCACCGCGGCGTGCTGCGCGCAGACCAGCTCGCCCCCACCGTCACCTTCGGCTCCCCAGCCATCCTCTGCGCCCGCGCCCGCGGCAGCCGCGGCGGCGGCAGCGGTAGTGGCGCCTGCGGCTCGGCGTGTTCCGGCTGCGCCGCGCCATGCGCGCGGAACGGCGGCGGTGCGGGCTGCGGCTGCGGCGGCGGGCTGCTGGAGCGGCTGGGGCTGGCGGAGGGCGCGGTGCGCAACGTGATCATGACGCGGGACATTGTGCCACGCGCGTTCGCGTGCGACTACAGCCTGGTGGCCGACATTCTCAGGAGCTGGGGGCCGCAGTGGAGGTGGGCGCCGGGGTGTGTGTGCAGGGCAGGTCGACGATTGTGCGGCTCGGCCCCTTTGTTGGCGCGGTGTGTGTGTGTGTGTGTGTGTGTGTGTATGCTGTTGAATATGCTCGCGGCTTGTTGTTGCGGCCGCACAACAAGAGGTCTTGGTTGGACGAGCGCCGGCCCACCATTGATGTCACCAGTCGACGCATAAACCTGTTCCCTTCATCTTGTCCTCCCTTTCTTCCACCCACCACCCACCCAGGGACCACGACTGCCTGAACTGGGCGGACCGCAAGCAGATGTTTGTGCACATCGGCAGGACCATCGTGCTCCAGCCGTCCCCTGAGCTCCGCTTCGCCGCCCCCGAGCCCCCTTTGCCGCTCCTGCCCCCCGGCGGCGCCGCCCACGAGCTCGCGCCCCCGACGCTCGCCGCGCGCATGCGAGCCGCCGGCGCGCGGAGCGCGGCGGCGCGGGAGGGGCGGCCGCTGGCGCGGGAGGCGGGGTGCGTGGACGAGGCGCTTGCGGCGCTGATGGACAACCCGCATCCTCTCGAGACGCTGGGGGACCCCGCGGCGTACATGGAGAGCGGCACAATCAGCCGATACCACAACCCGGACAACTACTGCCGCGCCCTCGGCCGCGTTTTGGCCGAGCAGCGTGCCGCCGCCGCCGCCGCCGCCGCGCCCCCCCGAGCGCCGCGGCGCGCCCGGACG